TTATTTATAAAATATTTTTGTCTTTATCTAAAATATAGGAACATAAGAAATTTCCTCCTTATACCAACTCTGCTTTCGTTGATCAGTCGGTGATGATTAATAAAATTTTTACGAAATTTAAGGCAGTACATGCTTGTTCAAAATAAACGTGAATAATTTACAGAGATGTAAAATCAATACATAAAAAAAATTAAGGTTTAAAAATTTCAACAAATCTTAAATTATTTACTGTTACTTATTTTAGTGAAATATGGCATCTTTCATTTTGATTCAACTTTTTCTTTTAAGATTTTATGCGGTGGTTCAATCGTTTAATTTAACTGTAAAACTGCTCACGCTTGTTCAAAGAAGATATTAACCTATCTGTTAAAAAAAAGATAATTAAAAAAGAAAGATTGTTAATAATGTGCGTAATAAGCAAAACCGTAGATTGGTCAGAAAAGAGAAATTATAGTTTAAATGTCTCGTGGTTCGTGAGGGGCAGGAAGTCGTTGCCAAGATGGCTCGACACCCCAAATCTCACGAGCATATTCAGCAATCGTTCGATCTGATGAAAATTTCCCCGAAGAAGCTATATTATGAATCGCCATTTCCACCCATTTTTTTTCATCCTGGAACAGAAAAATAACAAATGGAAGATAATGACGGCAGAAATATAAAACTCACTAAAAAAAAGAAAAGTAAGAAAGCTTCATATATCTTTTATACTTGAACATATCTTTTATAAGTTTTAATATGAGCGTACCTGATAAACTTTACCGACGTAATCTTGCATTTTAATGTAACTCTCATAATCAGCAAATAGGTAAAATCTGTCCCAATTCATCAAAACATTGGCGATATCTTTAAACTCGTCTGGATTATTGGGGCTGAAGAAGCCACCCTGAATCTGATCGATACATTGTTTTAACTCTGGGATCCTGTTATAGTAATCGTGAGCATTGTATCCCTTCCTCTGCAATTCTTCTACTTCCTCGACTGTCATACCAAAAATGAATATATTATCTTTGCCCATTTCTTCAGCCATTTCTACGTTAGCACCGTCCAATGTACCAATTGTCAAGGCTCCGTTTAACTAAATTAATTTGAAGTACAATACTCATTACTAATCGTAAATTAAATTGAATGACTTAAATTGAATGACTTTTTTCTTTACTTACCATAAACTTCATGTTCCCTGTACCGGAAGCCTCAGTACCAGCAGTAGAAATTTGTTCACTCAGATCTGCAGCTGGAATAATCTTTTCTGCTAATGTGACTCGATAATTCTCTAAGAAAATGAATTTCAATTTGTCGCCGACAATTGGGTCGTTGTTTATGACGTTTCCTACGCTGCAGATCAGCTTTATAATTTTTTTGGCTAAATGATAACCGGGAGCAGCTTTGCCTCCGATCATCACCGTTCGTGAAACGAATGGCGCGGATGGATTTTTCTTTATTCTGTTGTACAATGTGATCACATGTAGACAATTCAAGAGTTGTCTCTTATATTCGTGAATTCGCTTTACCTATTTTATAAAATCACATATTATTAATGTAATTGTAAGCAATACACATCTAATTAATCTGATGTAATCACCTGAATATCAAAGATGGAGGCAGGATTCACTTTAACGCCATAGTCTTTCTCAAGTATTTGCGCCACTTTTAATTTATTTTCTTGTTTCACTTTCATAATGCTACGTTGAAAGACTGGATCTGTAGCCCATTGCTTCAATTGAACAAGTTGCTCTAGATGCACCGTCCAGTCGCTGCCAATTTTCTAAATAAAAATGAATAACAATAATGATATTAAATCAACGATTATTGTATAAAAATCTAAATTCATAATAATGGTACTCACTTCTTCAATGATATCTGAGAGATTCGGGTTACACAAGAGAAGCCATCTTCTTGGTGTAATACCGTTGGTCTTATTTTGGAATTTCTCAGGTGTTAACTCATAAAAGTCTTTGAATCTAAAATAATAACATTAGAAAACTATTGATAACAGTACCACGTATTAAAGAAGCGGCTAGCGATAAAAATTTCCAGTTTTAAAAACACCTACATGCCATTCTTTAAGATTTCTGAATGTATTGCAGCTACACCATTGATAGCATGGCTACCAACAATAGAAAGATGGGCCATGTTAATTCTCTTTTCCCCTTCTTCCTCAACCAGAGACATACGACGAAGACGATCTAAGTCTCCAGGCCATTTGGCAGAAATTACTTGCAAATGAAGGAAGTTTATGTGATAAATGATCTGTAAATGTCTAGGAAGAATGCTTTCTAGCATGCTTGTTGGCCATCGTTCCAAAGCCTCTGGAAGCACTGTATGATTGGTGTAGGCACAGGTTTTCGTCGTGATGTCCCATGCTTTTTCCCAAGGAAGTCCTTCGACGTCAATAAGGATTCTCATTAATTCAGGAATGGCTAACGAAGGATGAGTGTCGTTTAGTTGGATAGCGACTTTCTCAGGGAATAAATCGAAATCTGTCCTATGATGTTCCTTTGAGCCAAATTTGCTGGACTTATACCTGTGAATAATATAAATGTTAAATGAACATAATTGCTACGTGTCTTCATCTTGTAATTTTACGAACAAAATCAATATGTAACAACCTGCGTATGATATCTTGAAGAGTGGCCGCCACCATGAAGTATTCTTGCTTTAATCGCAATTCCTTACCCTCGAAGAAGTTATCGTTGGGATACAGTACTCTGGAGATGTTCTCTGCCAAATTGCGGTCGATCACAGCCTGGATGTAGTCACCATCGTTGACTGAACATAATTTTTTCTCAATAGTCTGCTTTGATTCATAATATATAAAATATAATACAAGATTGCTTACAGAATTTTAAATTAAATTCTATAGGTGATTTAGCAGACCATAGTCTAAGAGTGTTAACAACATTATTCTTGTATCCAGGAACTGGATTATCATAAGGCATTGCAAATATAACCTACACAAAAAATAATGTATTTAAATATTTTCTTTATTAACAATTTATTCTGTAAATTTATTTAATCTATACCAACCTGGGTGTTCACCCACTTCTTTCCTTCAGGAGTATCTATAACTTGCCCATAGAAGTTCACTGGAAGCATGAATTCTGGCCTAGCCTTCTCCCATGGGTTTCCATATCTCAACCAGTCATCTGGTTCCTCCACCTGTTCTCCATTCTTTATCTTCTGTGTGAAAATACCATATTCATATCGAATACCATATCCATAAGCAGCCAGGCCAAGTGTAGCCATGCTATCCAGAAAACAGGCTGCCAGTCTTCCTAAACCTCCATTTCCAAGGCCAGCATCTTCTTCAAGTTCTTCAAGTTCTTCAATGTCCAAGCCCATCTATGGAAAGAATCAAATTATGAACGATGATAAAAATGTAATTCTTTACATTTACATCAGTATATTTATTTTAAAATTAACCTGGTACATGGCCTCATCACAAGCACCCTGGATGCCCAAATTAATCATGGTGTTCTGGAGGGTCCTTCCCATGTAATATTCCAGGGAAAGATAATAAACTCTCTAAAAAACAAAACATGAATATATGTTAGAGAATATAGGAAGTAGATTAGGATAAATTGTTTTAATTGTGCAATAATTTCCAAGGGTGAAAAACAATTTATTTTAAGGATGACATATTCAATCATAAAAATGTTATCTCCTGTAGGCGTGTTGAATATTTTTCAACGAAACGTTGAACCCGTAAAAAACATTGAACTGTGATTCGATGGAGTATAAAAATGATCAACCTTGTATCGTATTGTGTCTTTAGAGCTTCCATTACGAAATCGATTAACGTGAATCTCGCGTTACGCGGCGATTGGTCTGCATATAAAATTAAATTCAGCCATCCTTTTGAAATGAGAGGAGAGAGAAAGACGAAACCACTTGAAATTCATTTTTATTGCGGTCAATGACGTCTATCTCGAAATTTCTTTTGATTCTGCCACGTGTTCGAGGATCTTGTTTATTTATAGATGGCTGAGAACGCTTCGAAAAAATTCGATATTTTGCTTTATGATACAAGTTGTACGCTTATTCATAAACAAAAAGACATATATTTTTTTGTCAGTTTCATTACACTTTTTTATATTTCTAAAAAATTTTGTAACTCCCAAAAAAATGTCTTAAAAATATTAAATTGAGACGGGGGCTCGCACTTCTCGGTAATATTATCCAATATTCTTGCTTATTTTGACTGCAATTGATAAACCTATCTCGTTACGTACAGTCTAAAGATGCTTTGCCTTCGGGACATATTAGGCAGTTCTCTTTCGGTATTATTCGAGTCATAAGCGTTTAAAAATGAGCGAACAGAGTATTCATTTTCGGCACCTAATCCTTTTTTTATGTTCGAAAGAAGAAAAATGTTGAAGAAATGAGAAAAAAAATTTGTGATATGTATGGTGAGGATGCTGTTAACAATAGTAGAGATTTCAATGTGGAAAAGAAAAAGCGAAGTGGCAGGCCAACAGAGATCGACGATGATGAAATTGCAAATTGTATTGAACAAAATCGAAGGTACACAACTAGAGAGATTGCAAACATATGAAATATTTTGCAAAAATTAGTTTCCTTGCATTCGAAAAAGCTTGGAATGACGAATAAGTACGACGTTTGGGTCCCGCATGGGCTAATGGAAAAGAATTTGCTCGACCGCATTTCGATTTGCGATTCATTGCTAAAGCGGTACAAAGATCACCCTTTTTTTTTTTAAATAACTTATCACTGGTGATGAAGAACGGATTGTTTTTGATAATATAAAACGGAGTAAACATTGGTCTAAGCCAGGACACAAACCACTAACAACGTCCAAGGCAAAATGCATATATCTGAATTTTTTAATGAAAAAACACAAGAATTTTATGAAGAAGGAATATTTGAGTTACCAAACAGATGGGAAAAGGTCACACAACAAAATGGTACATATCTCGTTGATTAGGCAAGTCTGATATTAAAATAACAAAACTTTATATTCTTGTGAAGAAACACGAACGAACTTTTTACTCAACCTAATAGAATGATTTTTTACTACTGTACAATATTTTTTCTATTAATAAAAATATTCATTATCGGTTCACTATCTACAATTAGCTGCTTAATTGCGATTTTTTCAGGAAGTTTACAATAAATTATGCGGCTCAGACAGCATGGTTCTTGAAAGCGCTTGAGAAATATGATGGAACCTCGTCCAAAATTCAACCCGGTAGAGAACGTGTTAAACGTGACTAATGTACTTTTAATAGCCGTGTCACGTGATCTGTGTTGTCGAAACAATTTCCACAATTAAGTGTTAGAAGCTTTTTGCAACGAAATGATGTTTGTGACGCTTTATTAATTCATTTTTATTAACTTTACCAATAATATGAAACACACTACAATTTGTATTTTTGTTTATTAACTAATTTGTTCATTTTATATATTACAAATGCTAAAATAATATAACCTACGATTTCTAAGCAAGGTTCTGGAAATCTGTACTTGCGCAGAAGTGCATGTAAGTACTTAAGTAACTATGCCCCCTGATCTATCTATACTATAGCTATTTTATTCCTGTCCGCCCACTCTTGCAAGTTTATGGCTGTAGGTCACTTCCTAGTCCTGACTTATCCTTCTGTGATCTCATCCCTAGTTGCCTTTAATCCCAGCAAGCTTCCCTTTGCGCAATTCTGACCCTCTACTTTTGTATCCCTTCATCAAATCTGATTCCCTTTCCCTGCTTTAGGTTAGCATTGCCTGAAGTTTATACGTCTTGTCCCTTAGGGTATTTCAGAGGCTTTTTCTCCCCTTGCTTCGAACGAGTTTCGTAAAACGTCCTAACCTAACTTTTATTGTGATATTTCTATCTTTACTTCTTCCCGCTATTCGCCACTTCTCAAATTCTCAACTTCCTTATTGTCGTGCCCAGCTTTCTCTTCGTTTTCTTCTCTCTGCTTACATAACTATTTAAATATATACGAAAAGCACAGTTGTCCAAAGAAATAGTTCCAACAAAATGTATTTATGTATGTATGATATTTAAAATTGACCAAACGTTGTTAACAATTATATTCTTCTTTTTTAAATAAAAATATGGTAATTATCATCGTGCATTTGATAGATTATTTGCAGCAAATATTAGATAATTAGTGCATAATAAGTAAAGTTCAAAAGCTCATGACTAACGTAGTAGCCGATCAACATACACAATAACACCGCGCAAAATTCACAAACAATTATTAATAATCCAATCGATGCAATTGGAATTGTTTCAATAGCGACGGTGTTATCGTCGACGTTGACATTGCTCGGAAAAGAATGAAAACCATTTGGCTCGGGATCTCAGGGTGAGGTGAACGTAAGGCCAAACGAAAATAGATGCTGCAACGTGTTGCATCTTGCATTTCGAAGGTTCATTGCAATATAGTGCCTCTATCGATATAAATAGTATAAACATGAACGCCGCAAAAATTTTCCTGAAAATTGCATTTTATTCCAAAACTCCATTTTCTTATCATGGAATGTGAGTTTTTTTTACAACAAGTAAACAATTTTTTTTTCGTTCGTTTATCTCGATCTAATCACGTCCAATATTTATGTTATAGTAATTTAAAGGTAAGCATTCATTGATAACCATTGTCCTGGTACGCTGATTTATTTATCAGGATAATTGCAACGAGTTAAAATCACGCACACTTGTATTTGGAACTAGCCAGAAGTCATTGACCGACGAGTCGTGTCGACAATGAAGACATCTCGTTATCAAACAGACGATGAATCGAGAATTTGCTGCCTCTTAAGCTCAAATTCACCTTATTCGTTATTCGTTAGTAAATACATTTCGCTTAGTAGATTGAGATAACAGATTAGATCTCTACATAAACATTTGAAATTCTTCTTTCAATATTACCGAAGGTATTTAAAAAGGTTATTAACTACTAATATCACAGAAATACATACATAAGTCTAATGTATAGATACGTATATTATACAATTAGTATTATATTTATATTATATACCATCTCATTAAAAAACAAACTATAGTATCACAGTACAATATGAAGCGTCATATATGTACACACAGTGTCTCGATAAATATGAAGTAATTATGGATATTATACTTACCGGCAATCGTTAAGCGAGGGTATATAGACCTAGTTTATTATTTCAATTGTAATTCGCATGCATAAAGTGTTTCATATAATACGTGAATTAAAAATGAATAATTTATTGACGTTAAATGACCCACAAGTAAAAACGTATTTGTAAGGACATACTTTTGGGTCCTTCTCATAATAGTATTGCTGAGTGCGTATCCATCTAGAGACCAGGTTGTCCTTGACGCTGTGTGCCAAGGCGGAGAAATAATCCCTACTTGTGGCTACATTACGATCCTTCACCAGAGTGTAATGAAGGTGTCTGTTGAAAGTTTTCTTGAAATTCGCCACATTTTCCACGTCAACGATTCCGCGCACAGAGATCTGCTTCCTTTTCTCGTGATCCGCTTCTGAGGCTGACATTTCTCTTTGTTTATATTTCTCCTGCTCCTTACAATTTAACGCCTATCAGTCCAAAACTACTTTATCAACAATTTATCGTATTACACAAGATCAATTGCGTGCAGGAGCACTTAAGGTTTAATTCAAGTTTCTAAGGATTTAACGTTTTTCTTTTTCGTGAAATTTATTATGATTAAACTGATTGGTGACAGCGGCGCTGGACCAAGTTCTAGATGCGTTCACTCACAGGCAACGGTACGCTACGAGCGTGGTACAAGATTTCTGTTACGAATTTGGAAAATTGTTAAGTACGATGACCGGTTTTCACGCTACATGCACGAACATCGGTGCCACGGATAAACCCGCACGCGTACACTACCCAGAGACGAATAACACGCGTATCTCTGGCAGACTTGGAGGTGGTCACCTTGTACGAAGGTCACGCAGGCGCATTGTATACTTTTTTTAGTCACATGATTGGAAACGGTTATACCGATTGGGTAACGAAAAATTAAATGTACTTTCCCGCCATCTAGAGTGAGGTTTCGAAACTGTGTTACTCCGACAGAGTACTAATTGATCATGAGCGAAGATTTAATAACCGTTTTATCACATTTGGAAAATGTTACGCAATGAAGTGATACCCGATTATTTTAGAAAGGATGGTTTATTATGAAAGGATAAAAAGGAAAGACTACATAATTCAGTGTCTTATTTAATATAATTTATTTATAAATTAATCGTGCAGATGCAGATGCAATAATGAAAACGTCAATAAGCGATACGCGTATTACAATTTGCATTCTGAAAAAGATTTTTCTTCCATCTCTGTTCATCTTCCTTGCATTTCTTTTCCATCGTAGTCAGTTCTTTTGCGGACGTCATATTTTAAAGTAGAGTGACGATGCTACCTGACAGAATTTCACTCGGGATTATCAAATCGTGTCATCGTAAGGAATCATGCGAATGAACCTTTATGCTTCGATACATCGATCAACGATGTAACACGATCGAAAAAAGTTCAAATGGATTCTCAGGTATCAGCGTCGATTTACTTAGAACGATATTATTAATAAAAACTCGCAATTCAGCCAACCACTTTCCATCGTAATGTTTAACCATATAGTTTACACTTAATAATGTGATAGCGATAATTGTATTATTCGAAGAAAAGAATCTTCGAAAACGCCGAGGAAAAAACAGACGGCGCTATTTCTTTACTCTCATACACTCACGTACACACCCACTCTCGTTCGTCATTTTTACGGTTCCTTTTTAAGAATCATTAATGAGCGATGATACAGATGATCGATACACAAAGATTGATATGCGGACCCACTAACGAAGTTAACCAATCTGATTTTCGAAAAACTCATTTATTATATCGTCTGTCTGTTGGAGTTGTATTGCTATCAAAACAGTGTTTTTTTTTTGTACCAAGGGAAAGTAGACGATTTTAACAGTACGCAATCATTAAGCATAAGCGAGGTATACAATAAGTTGTTGCATTTTTATTGCACTGAAAAAATAGAACACGCATAAATCATTCCGAAAGATATAACTTGTCGGTAAATATACTCAAAAAAATCATTATCGATAAAGCTGCGTATTAAATGTTAACTACGTTGATAAAACAGATTTTTGTATCAATAAGGACGTTATATAATTGGCTATAAATTCAAACTCGCAAAAGCTTGCAAAACTATCAATACAAAATCGATTGTGCAACAAATTTTAGACTTTCCACTAAACTTACAATCGCATGTGCATATGCTCCATCTTATAATTTTGTTCACCGATCAACAATGTAGTCTACACCAAAACAAACTGTTCTAACAGAATTTTGAAGATATAAAAATTATTTTATTTTTTAAGCAACAAATTTTTAAATCCAATACAAATCAATCAATTCTTAATTCTTTATACAGTTTAACTTAAAAATTGCTTGTAAATTTCTGTGTGTAAACTTCATAGAAACTTGAAATCTTAAATATATTAAATATCAAACGACTTTTAATTAAATAGTACCTATACACTAACATCCATAGCGTAATTTAAAAAATAATTCAAGATAAATGTGCAACGTTCACAATACCGTTAACAATCAATAACAAACTTCTAAATTTCTCTCTCTCTGCAGTCTTACCCTTTTTCTTTCTTACACACACATACACACACGCACAACACTCTCCCTCTTCATACAAAACAGATTTTGTAAGGCAACTAATTAAGAAGTTAAGCACTTTCAATGACCATGTTAGATTGTTACTGTTAACAATTAACCTTCTCCTTGCTCATTTTTCTTTTCTAATGGAATATTCAGTGTTAGCAAAAAGAGCGAGAGGGTTTTGTTCAGGCAACTAATAAAATAGCATTTACAATTATATAAATCTTATTTCAATGTTAACGTGTTTTATATGAACTTTAGAAGAATATTTTAAAGTTTAAAAAAGGCAAAATCAATTTTTATTTCAGGAATCTAGTACTTTCTTAATTATTTTTTACAGTTAAAATATAAAAAAAGAACAATTTATATTTACATACTACTGAAGGAAAATGAATGCATTATATTGAAAAGAAATTCAGGAAACTAAGCTAAACTCATATACAAAAGTAAAAAAACAACGAAAAAATATATATCTCACAGAAATTTTTGTTCAAAGTGAAGATTGAAGTGAATTTCAGATCAGTTTCCATTGACAAACTTATTCAGAATTTAGAAAACCAAAAAAAATGTATTGCAACCAAGAAAAAACGTTTTAACCATTTCTTATTAAGCCATTTATATTATTTCATTCTCAACATATGAACATACTAGTCTTATAATATCATCGTCACACATTTAACGCGTCCACAAATCGGGTGTAATGTGAAAGGTTAAAACAGTTTTCAAGCAAATCAATTTTTCGTGTAACAAATTATTGTTATCAATGTCATTTCTATATATTTCTATAAAAAATGAATTTCCTTATGCTTGCATTTTGTACACGTTTTTTTTTGTAACATTCAATTAGGAAAAAAATGAAAAGTATAAGTTGAAAAGCAAAACGTTAAAAACTAGAAAAAGAAAAAGAAAAAGAAGTACAGCACCCCTTGCCAGCTTTCTGCTAGAGAAATTGGGATAACTGCTATTGTGGTGGACACAAATAGCGAGTGGTAATTTTAATGGGGCCGCATATCATTCTATGCCCGAAGAATAAAGATCGGTTCAGACTGGTGTGGGAGAGTGCGAGGAAAAAACAAAAAAAGGGAAGAAAAACCGGGAAACCCTAAGAGACACACGCATTGTACCGTTCATGGTTTTGCATAGTACACCAAAGGGTTCTATCGCCTCTCCTACCGCAACAAATTAACATAATCGCTAAATGTTACTTCTTTCCATTTATTTCGATTAACAGGGACACCGTGCAGATCCGGAAAAGGAAAACTCGCGTTACGACATCGTCGGACACTGAAATCCAACCACTGAGCTCTCTTGAAAACGTTAAGAAAAGACACACTCATATCCTTTTATTACCTTGTGATCTTTTCTCCTTATATTACCTTGTGATCTATTATTGTTGTCTTTTTATGTTTTTTTTAATTCGATTTTTATTCACGTTTTCCCCTTTTCGTTCTTTTAGGTTAATTTTATTTTTTCCCTTCTTTCTCTCTTTATATATATATATATATATATATTTTTTTTTGTTTATACTACTACTACTACTACTACTACTACTACTACTACTACTACTACTACTACTACTACTACTACTACTACTACTACTACTACTACTACTACTACTACTACTACTACTACTACTACTACTACTACTACTACTACTACTACTACTACTACTACTACTACTACTACTACTACTACTACTACTACTACTACTACTACTACTACTACTACTACTACTACTACTACTACTACTACTACTACTACTACTACTACTACTACTACTACTACTACTACTACTACTACTACTACTACTACTACTACTACTACTACTACTACTACTACTACTACTACTACTACTACTACTACTACTACTACTACTACTACTACTACTACTACTACTACTACTACTACTACTACTACTACTACTACTACTACTACTACTACTACTACTACTACTACTACTACTACTACTACTACTACTACTACTACTACTACTACTACTACTACTACTACTACTACTACTACTACTACTACTACTACTACTACTACTACTACTACTACTACTACTACTACTACTACTACTACTACTACTACTACTACTACTACTACTACTACTACTACTACTACTACTACTACTACTACTACTACTACTACTACTACTACTACTCCACTCAAAACTCCGTTGTTCGGCATACGCAACCCCCGAAAAAAGTCGCAGCGAAAGTCGTTGTCCAAAAAAAGAACGGTAAGTCCCGAATTGAGAGAGCCGACGACTTACTTGAGACGCAAAAGAGAGTTTTCTTCTTCTTCTTCTTCTTCTCTTCTACTACTTCTTCTTCTTTCTTTTTTTCTTTAATTTTCTCGTTTTAATCTTTTCAATTATTGGAACGAGCCAAAGCAACAAAAATAAGTTAACCCAGTTTTTCTCGGATGATTCTGATTTTAACATTTGTTGATTATCTGTACGAGACGATATAGATATACGAGATGTTCGCAATGTCGCGACTTTTTATACGTATACACTGTGACACATATTCGATGTGTGCGATCTTGGTTGTTGTCCAAAGTAGTACGCGATTCCGGAAGAGAGCAAAACCGTGTATATATATATCGACGTACATATATATATATATATATACATACATATATATATATACATACATACATACACACTTATGTTTTCATCGTTTTATTTTTTTTTCCTTTGCCGCTGGCGTTACTACACATTTCGTCTTTTCTCTGCGGTTTACTTTCCTCTGTATTGTTCTGCGTTTTCTCGCGAAGTATTTTTCTCTCGCCATCATTTACCATTTTTAACCGTATTGATTTCTTTGTTGTTTTTTTTTTTTGGATTTTTTTAAATTATCTTTTCAACTTTCTTTGACGAGTGTTCACTGTTTTTTCCTCTCTCGCTCTCTTTCATTCCTGCGTGGATTCCACAACTGTCCGACAAACTCGCTTAAGTTTCTCTTGCCCCCGCGTGGTGGTATGCTTTTATGTTTATTCCTCCTTTGTTGGCTCTTTTTTGCCGAACGGTATCGCAGCTTTTACTCTGAAACAACAATTTAAAGATGAATGTACCTCTAAAACAGATCAGACTCATTTGTCAATTTATTTAGTGTATGAAAGAACTGAATCATTCTCTCCCTATTGCCTTGTACACTGAGAACTAATTCAAGATATTACTTTAATGGGCTCTGCATCGAACACGATACATAATTGCCAGTTACATCGGAGGGAGCTATCGGTAACATACACACTCTATATTCGTTGTGAAGCTGCGTTAATATTTTATGCAATAAATGGCTGCTTGTATGAGGCACATATGCTACCTTCAAACTGGAATACCCACAGCATGATCATACAATCGTACACAGGGGTATATACAATAGTATTTTCGATAGAAGTATTCAACTGCGGCTATACTATTCCAGTCGGAATGATTCACACACTTTCTGTGAAATAATTCAGTAACATAGGCTTCCTTGGGATCAAAATTTTCTTTCTTCACGTTTAAGAATGTAGAACATCATTATTTCTTCAATTAACTAAACTTACTTAGCAGTGAGCTCGTTAATCTTGCCTTGCATCAGGGCTACGTTTTGATCGATTTGTGCCTTGTTTGTCTCGTAGACCTTAGGTAGCGTGAACAGAGCGACAACTCCTGTAAAAAGAATAATGGAATGTAGAAAACTGTTTTACACTATCGTCTACATTGAATTATTATCAACTCCAAATATGACGAGGGCTATGACGTTGATTAACAAGAACAATGAACTCATTGTACTTAGACACGTTGTTAAATTACGAATTTGGGCGCTTGACGCTGAATGCCTCGTCGAGACGTCAGTCCTATTAATATTTCTGTAGATAAATATACCTACAACTATTTCCTGCCACAGGACACACAGTGGTTGACTAAGAGTGTCTCGATTCAACACAATCTGAACTTGTTTAATGAAAACACTTGATACCGGTCAGATACTTGATGTGTTATTTACCGATTATTATTAGAGTCATTCCATTGAACCAAGAACCCACATGGGTCAAACTCCAGAGCAGGACACCGAATTTCAAAGAGTCGACGAAGTCCTCGACCAGGAAGAGCCTGCGGAGTTCCCTGACCGCCGCGTTCACGTGTGCCACAGCAACGTCTGCTACTTCGTGCACTTTTTCCGCGGGCAATGTCAGGTCCATCTCCAAAACGTTTCTGAAAATACGAACAACGTTGTAATTCTTTTTGAACTTTCTATTCATCCTAATGTAAGATTTTTATTTTAATTTATAAAATTGTTTACCATAATAATGTGAGATCTAATTCCACTCCAATTTTAAGAAAACTTCTATAATGTGAGATCTAATTCCACTCCAATTTTAAGAAAACTTCTATAATATGAAATCTATATCTGAGATCTGAGATCTGACGTTTTATGTATATAATATTTCTTTGTCTTTGGGGTAACAAACTGTTCACAACTTTTACCAATGAAATAAGAATACTTACTTGAAGGGATGTCCATCGGAAGTCTTCTGGATAGCTTGAAGGACGGTATTGTGGATCCTAATGACGATTGTGCCGGCGAGGACGAGGAGAGACAAGTAAGCGAAGACGCTAATCAGGCTGAAGTACACTAACGACAGAAGCACTCCAAGTATGCACCCGAAAACGGGGCCAGTCTTCTTTGGATCGCGCCAGTAGGCCACTACAAACAACAAAAAGGAACTTATTAAAAAAAATCTCCAACAATTCTAATCACCACACTTTCATCATACAATTTGTTGCAATATCAGTTTTCAAATTCTTACTAAATATATGCAAATCATATTATCATATCCAGAGCCATTTCTAGGAAACATATAGGGTGATGTGTATACAGGGTGACCCTTAAATTATTTCCATTCTCAAAGATTCATTAACATCATTAGACCTTTTTCGGAGTAATATTTTTCACAGAAATTCATTGTTATAACAGAAACTCCAGAAATATTGGCATATATTTTCAGATTCTGAAAATAGAACGAAGAAACTTTCAATTTTGAATATTGTTTTACGACCACGTGCTCCAACCATATGTTAACTGAATTGTACGGCAACTGAGAAGCGATTTTTTCCATAAAAATAGGGGGAAGACTCACCAGGACCTCTGTCTGGGAGCTCCTTTACGGGCGCCCTTTGACTATTCCTTTGCACCATTCTCAACGAACAAACTAGTCTGGGAGAGATCGAAACGGAGGAGAGCTGAACAGGAACTGCCACCGCTTTCCGTGGCTTCGCTTGCACATGGAGCTCCACGCACCTCGTGCGATATTACACGGAGAGATACGTGTGCACGGAATCGA